CATTCAAGAAAACAATAAATGACAGGTAAAACTGAAGTGCCTCACTTCAATTATGGAAAATCAAATTGTTTCGAAAGTCCAAGAGGACTGTTATGCGCTCAGTTGAGCACCATTAGCAATAATTGTAAACATCCTCTTGTAGCATTTAACAAACGATTATAAAAGTTCAATTGAAACAATGGTTATGAAGCGAGCAGTGTCTTTGATCAGAGCAAGTTTGTGTTGAGAATTTGTGCTGAATTGAATTACCGACGTTGGCGTTGTTCGTGTTTCATTGATCATCGTTCTAGCGGAAGTGTGTTGATGAATTTCACTTAGGATGCTAAACTCATTTGATTCATTCGAAACACAACTTAATCTAATCAAATTTATTGCACTTCCTCCAGCCAACCATTCATTCAGCAATATTCCGAATGAAATTCGAATTTAATTCGTTCATGCATTCGCGTCGTTCGTTTATTTTAGCATATTCCATTCGTTGTTTTCGTTCGTTCGTTCGCGGATCATTTGTTTCTGAGTGATATTTTCGCATACTTTTAATGATATGCTCTCATGGTGCCACCTAGTGAAACGCGAGATTGCTTCAGTTGGCATCCATTTTCAAATCAGTAATTAGCGAACAACCAAAAACTTCTCAAAACCGAAATTCTAATCTGTAAATGATTCACATATTCTCTATGAGCTGTTGATTTCCCACTAATGCACTCTATGGATATCAATGATAACGATAACGCAGATGGAAATGCACCCAAATAATTATTTTTTTGCTCTTCCGCTCAGTCTAGACCGAGTAATCGATCGATTCAGATCAAATTACTAGTTGACCAATACAGTGGCATATCAAAGATCCATCCATTCAGCTATTTCCGAACTGTTCGTACATCAAAAATCAAGTATTCGCCATTTTTCTTTCTTCTCAGCCAGCCAAGGCACACATTTCACAATGATTGATGAGTTGTAAAAATAACTCGAAAGTTTAGCCACTTTTCACCACCAGCACCGCTGCATTAACGTTGTTGCGTTTAAATGTTCGCTTGAATCGTTTAAACGTGGTTTAAATGTTCATTACATTTTTCATAGATTCATTCTATTGATAAAGCTTGTTGCTTCAAATAAATATCTCAATAGGCATCACCGCATCTGTAAAATACTTCGAGATATGCACATCAACTTTCTGTCTATACGATTACTACTCATAACAGTGCTAGCGACAAAACACGTACAAATCCTATCAAAAAAAAACTCAGATAATAGTTTCTTTGTCTTCTGATTAAGTCGGTTTAGATTGAGTAATCAATCGATCACTGAGTAATGAGTAATTGAGTAGTCGATTGAGTAATCGTCAGAACAATTCACTATTTTTTCAGTGGATCGACATTTCGGGTTGTTAACATTCGTATATCTCATTGATGATGACTGTAAATGTCAAAACGTTGAGATGTTGTGACCAATCAAATAAATGATCACACATTTCTTGTTCGCAGATTATAGTTCAATTACTATTCAATCGATCCTTGCTTACCAAGTCACCAACAATATCGATACATTCATTCGTCGTCATTGACGTTCTTCTTCCCTCACAGCTATCAATATAAACCATTCGTCTTCATGTAATTCTACTCCGCTCTAAATTCCAATTTACTCTACCACCGATCAGCGCAGTACATCAAGTAATTATTCGGAGCATATTATAAAGGGATTTTTTATCAAGTGATTTATCGGTTATTATAAAAGGGATTTATTAAAGCCTATTGGATATATTCCTACTGTATTGCATTATTGTTGCTATTGTTATTATTATTGTTACTGTTGGTGTTATTGTTTTTTTTGAGATGTCGATAACAAGAATAAAAATGAACGAACCAAACAATTGAAATCTTTTGTGGAGAATAATTCAGAATTGCAAAAACTCCAGTTTTTTCATCCATTTTTCACTATTTTCACATTTTTCACTACTCAAATTGAGTCATGAAATGTGATGTTTCTGAAATGTTCAGATGCAATAATACTGCTCGCTGTCGATGAGGTGATTGATGATGAGCGCGTCGAATGCATCAATCTTATAGCAGTTTGATAACTCAGAGTTAAATAGCCCTTAAAGAGGATGTTAGAATGTAATTGAAATGTGTTCAGTCGTGAAATAAAATTTTCATTCCTATAAAGGCCACAATAATAATAATAATAATAATAATAATAATAATAATAGTAATAATAGTAATAATAATAATAGCGGCAAAATAAGTGTAAAAATAGTAATAATGACAATAGTGATAAGGATAATAATAACAATAATAGCTGCAGTAGCAAATGGCAATAATAATTGTAATTGTAATCGCTCGAAATTATTCCCAGTCAATAGGAAGTTCTTTCAAACCACCATTGTATAATAATAATAACAAGGTGACTTTAACACAAAATCAGCTTGTTACTTCCTTCAGACAGATCTTTTTAGTTAGCGTTATACAAGAATAAATAATAACACAGCAGAGGCCACCTCCTAGTGCTCAAATCTCATTGTTATGCGTTGTGAGCTTATTGCTTATTCATGCTCAAATCTCATTATTATGCTTAGTTCATGGAATTTGCGATTGAATTTTATCGTTCTTCAAGAATCGGAATTTTGTTGATAATCGTAACAAAACTCTAGCAGTGCATAAATACGTATTCAAGCAGTGGAATGAATCAATCCATTCAGTTTTTACTCTTTGCATAACGATAAATTATTTCATGAATCGTTGAATTTTCGCAAGGTTTTGGCTATTCGGAATCTTGTTTTGCTTTGTTTATAACGTTGCTGGCCACAATGCTCGCGTTTCCGATGGCACTGTTTTAGTCTTGATTTTAGCCACCCCGCTGGCTAGGCGAGCACGCCAAGTGAGCACAAGCGAGTATTTAATTAGTTGCCGTGAATACTTCGCACAATTAAAAGTAGTCAAATACCAATCCGATAAATAATCATAACTCTACAAAACAAACATTCCGCTGATCGCTAACAGCGATCAACAAAACAACAGCTTGATGTGTAAGTAACAAGTAATAATCTTCAGTAATGATCACTTCTATAATATTTCGAATAAGTCTCCATCTTCAAAGAATGTTCAACAACATTTTCATCGCTAAAGTCTGAAACTGCAGTAAGCTCTTATGAATTCGCTCATATTTATCTCGTCTTATAAACTTGAAATTTAATCATCAAACTCGTTTGGTGCTGTCGTTTTCTCGCCTGAATTGTTGGTTATTTTCGTCTATCATCTCCTCACAGTATCAAATTGATATGGGATCCTATTCGAACTGCAAAGTATCTCGTGAACATATATGCTGTTTTTGTCTGTTATGCCGCATAAATTGCTTATTTTTGCTCTAAACTTCAAACTCGCATAAGGCTATATCGAACCAATCGCAAATTCCAAGTGAACCATTTTCTCCTCGATTCTAACGAACAATGCTTCAGCATTTCTTCCAAAGT